ATGGCCACTGTAGAGAGAGCGTGTGTTCGCCCATACCGTAGTACAGCGGTGCGATTTCGTTAAAGAAAGCAGCGCACACTCGCCAGGATTCAAACTCCGGACCTCCAGCTGGTGAAGGGGAGTAGCTAATCAGTGGAGCTGACAAGGTTTGGTGACAAATGAGGTGCGCGCAAGGTTAAGAGCAAATCTACAAAGCAGAATCCGAGAAGTCTTTGAAATTTTTTGAACATGCATTAGAAATTGTGAACAAAATTTGGAAAAGCAAGTATTGTTTGAAAATCAGACAAAATTTTCAACAACTCGACCATGTTTTTTTAAAAGTGTGAACATTTTGAGCGAGGTTTTTAAATCCCAAGCATTTCTGAAAAATGCAAACATTTTTTGAATTTTTTTATAGTGGAAACATGTCTTGAAATTATGAACATTTTTTTCAAAAGCGTGAACATTTATTGAAATTGCCAAACATTTGTTTAGTTTGTGAGAATAAAACTGTAACCGGAAACATTTTTTAACATTTTAAACATTTTTCTAAAAACAAAAAAATTGAACTCATGATTTTTTTAAACACCAATTTTGTTTATAAGTAGCTCATCTCATCTGCCATTGCACCGTTTCGTAGAACTGTTGAATGTGTTTTTCTAACGTTAGTACATACACAAGCGCTCATATACACGCGCATACACTCACCATATGAATGGACACACACACACCCTATCCCTATGATCGTAAAACTGTTGAATGTGTTAAAGGTACTATATATGATTGATTCAGTAGGCTATTTTAGGAGCTCTAGTTTAACAACTTTTATTGGATAAACTAGGATGTTTCTGTTCTGTAATTTGTCACTTAATTTGTATGCTGGAACATATGTATCATATTTACTTGTGGTTGCCACGGAATTTGTATGCCTTCTCTTATGTTTGAGTCTACCGTCTGATACCTAATGTCCCGATCCCTTAATTTCCTTTTCTTTCTAATCCCAGTAGAACTGTCACCTGAAGAACAAATGCATCATGAAGAGTTTTATGATATCTAGCAAGGGCACCTGGCGTCCAAGAGCAGCGAGCATCAAGTTATCTCCTTGTGTTGTACTACTGCCAAGACCTGCTTTCGACATGTTATTGCTACCTTATTTTTCTTACAAATTCATAAATTAAATGGACTCGAGACGATTCAACTTGGAAATCATTTTCTACAAATTGAAAGGGATTACCTTTTTTACATTTATGAAACAATGAATAATAATCACTTCAATAAGCTTTACCCTTTCCTTCCCTATGTATTCCCTCCATTCCTAGATATATGACGTTATAAAGAGCTGGTTGGTTGTCTGTAGAAGGTTTTGCTTCAAGAAAAAGGTAATCTCGAGAAGGTTATCACCAAGGGATCCTTCTATAGAGATATGCGAAACCATATGAAGCTTATAAGATGATACGATATATATCTTTTTTAGCATGTGTAATGAAAGTTTTATGTTCACAAACCATCCCTATTAAAATTATCAACTCAACACCATAATCTTAATGATATACACTTATATACTTAATATGTATTGAGCCCGTGCGATGCAATTATTGACTATGCTACGAGTAGTAGTCATGTTAGTACTTGGTGCTTGGTATCTATCTTAGCAAGATGCACCTGGATAAAGAAGATCCTAATGAGAGCCGTTAGCATCAACTAACTACTATGTCCAAACACAAAGTACAACTACACTGCAATATTGTATTAACGTCACTGAAATAATCAGAGGACAACCATCATGTACTTGTACATCGTGAATGGCAACTACGAAAATAAGCACAGCTACAACTTTATCTAAACATTTTGTACCCAACTAAACCTTCGTATATAGTGACAATGATAGAGACAAAGAGGTAGCTAACGGATTCGAGATAGTCGGTGTACACCTTGCGCTACAACATGTGGTATCGAGTTGTACTCGCGTCGTGACTATATCTCATGTTGCGAGGAGTTAAGTTCCAATGCCTACATAGGCCATGTACTACAATGGGTTTGGAGTGTTATATATGTTGGTGATATTGGCATCGTACAACTTTGAGCATCAGATATGCTACAAAAAATATCATAAATATGCAAACTTTTTGAAATATTTGAAATATAGCTTTCCACTATCAAGGGGATATATCGAATAAGTTACTAAGAGATTGCTGTGTGGGGTAAATATTTATGTCAGACATTGTTGGATAGAGACCAGATATATGGTTTTACACACACATATGATCATTAAGAGTCGGGTGATTTTCACTTCCTGCTTTGTGATCTACGGCTTACTTTGAATAATTGTGTTTTGTTTGAAACTACCGTAATAAAGAAGTAGAGGACTGAATTGGAAGAAACCAATATGGCCAAACACTTAAACATTACCAACAAACAAAATCAAACCTCCCTCCTAAAACCGCAATATTGCAACAGTCATCCTTCTTTGTATTCCACAATCAACTAGCCTTAACACAAGATATCCTGTAATTAGTGCACAATAGTTTTCATGACCATATGTGCGGAAGTATGATAACTATCGTGCTATCGCGACCGCATCTTGCAATGATACATGTTCTAACGTGGGTGGGATACTTCACCAAAATTGCTCGTGGTGACACTAGTATCAGATGGATGCATTACTAGCCAGCTATCTTTACGCGCGTTCAATGAGAGGAGATGTCTCCGTCGACTGATAATACATCTGTGACGATTTCGTCAATCTCAAGATGATCTGTCAGTTTGGTCTGAAGAAAGTACTCATAGGGCTAGGATGTCATACTCCCTCCGTTCCTAAATATTTGTCTTTCCGGAGATTTCAACAAGTGACTACATACGAAGCAAAATGAGTGAATCTACACTCTAAAATATGTATATATACATCTGTATGTGATAGTCCATTTGAAATCTTTAAAAAGACAAATATCTAGGAATGGAGGGAGTATATGTGAGGTGCGTGTATGTATGAGCGTCTATGTCTGTCTTGTGTTAAAAAAAGTTATCTTTATGTGGGTCGCAAGTTAATCATTTTTTCTTGAGGTTTGACAACTCAATGAGATATTGACATATAGATACAAAACAGTAAAATAAATATATAATACAGATGTCGATGAAATTCCCTTTTTTGTGGCACTTTACCACAATTTAATTGCAGAAGACAAATTAAGAACGTTGTCCTGTCCAATTGGATGCCGACAGAATTACGGACTTCCTCCTATCATACTCTGAAACTGAACTGATCTGAAAATGAAGTAGGGTACCCATCCTTTCTTTCTGACGGAACGAGCAGCAAGCCAGAGTCTGGTGACTAGAGCCTGGAGCCAGTGCCGGCGACGTCGACGACGAAGCGGTAGCGGACGTCGTTGCGCGCGAGCCTGGCCAGCGCGTCGTTGATCCCGTCGGTGGAGACGAGCTCGATGTCGGCGGTGATGCCGTGCTCCCCGCACAGGTCCATCATCTCCTGCGTCTCCTTCATGCCCCCCGTCATGCTCCCGCTCACCGTCCTCTTCCCGAAGATGAGCGGGAAGGACGGCAGCTCCACCGGCTTGTCCGGCGCCGCCACCAGCACCAGTTTCCCGTTCACCTTGAGCAGCTCCAGGATGGGCCCCAGCGAGTGCTGCGCCGACACCGTGTCGATCACGTAGTCCAGGCTCCGAGCCATGGCCTGCATCTGCCTCTCGTCGGTGCTCAGGACGAAGTCGTCGGCCTTGAGGCTCTCCCTCGCCTCGCGCTCCTTGGCCGGCGACGTGCTGATGACGGTGACCTTGAGCCCGAACGCCTTGCCGAACTTGACGGCGACGTGGCCGAGCCCGCCCAGCCCGACCACGCCCAGCCGCCGCCCGGGCTCGCCCAGCAGCATCCCGTGCTGCTTCATGGGGCTGTACACGGTGATCCCGGCGCACAGCAGCGGCGCGGCGGCGTCCAGCGGGAGGGCGTCCGGGATGCGCACGAGGAACCGCTTGTGGGCGACGAGCATGCTGGAGTAGCCGCCGTAGGTGACGCTGCCGTCCCAGAAGATGCCGTTGTAGGTGAGCGCGACCTTGTCGCAGTAGTTCTCCTCGGAGCGGCGGCAGTGGTCGCAGTCGAGGCAGGAGGCGGCGATGCATCCGACGCCGACGCGGTCGCCGGGGCGGAAGCCGGAGACGTTGGCGCCGACCCGGGTGACGACGCCGGTGATCTCGTGGCCGGGCACGAGGGGGTACATGGTGATGCCCCAGTCGTTGTTGATGAAGTGGAGGTCCGTGTGGCACATGCCGCAGTAGTGCACCTTGATGGTGACGTCGTCCACGCCGTTCTCCCGGCGCTTGAAGGCGAAGGGCACCACCTCGCCGGAGGGCTCCATGGCCGCCCACCCGCTCACCGCCTGCGTGTGCTTCGGGGTCACCTCCATCGCCGGCCAAAAATGTGCGTGAGACAGTGAAAGATTCTTGGTGTCTGTGGTGCTCGCTGCGCTGGTTGTTGTGCTTCTCAGCAGCTCTACCCACGGCTACTTATAGTGCGCTTCAGCTTCACGCGGTTGGTCCATCTCAGTGCCTCAGAGTCAGAGGTCTGGTCGTTTTGGATGCTATTAGGTTAATCTCGGTTAAGTAGTTTAAAGGGGGTGGTTGCTGCACTTGACCTGCTAGGGCGTCAAATGTAATCATTAAACACTTGGTCATGTTGGACGTGTTCGTTGACAAACTTGACAGTTTTGTTGATTAACATATATAGTTCATTGGTAAGGTGAAAAAATTATAGAAAAGACGCTCAAAGAGCATATTATCTCGTACCTCCCTCCGTCCCAAAATAAATGATGACTCAACTTTATACTACTAGTTTTAGTATAAAGTTAGTATAAACTTAAGTCATTTATTTTGAGACAGAGGGAGTATTTATTAAGAAAAACAATAGCCTAAACACGGCGACTTTCCAAATGTCTACTACAACAAGGTTTATCCAGTTTCAGTGAGGAAGGGACAATGATAGCGGCGCGCCTTTGGCTCACTCCGGTGCTTATAGTCGTTGCTAGGTGGTCTACGAACATAGATGTAATTTTTGTTACTTCTCTTGTTCTTTGTACTGTCATGATATTTGATGAATATATTGAAAGTTTTTTTTTCCCAAAAAGGCGAAATTACAATGAAAATCATACTAATCGTGTTCTTCTTTCATTGTCCGTCGCCCGTGAAAACATGAAATTTGGACCGAGCAAACAATTAAGGGAAGGGACACCTTCAAACACTCTCATCATACAAGGCTAGACCGCAATAGCCACTCATCGCTAATTATTAGATCAAATATTCACTGAATGAACATCAGCCAGAGAAAGCGGCTTGCATTTTCAATTCTTCCCCAATAATCTAGAGGGTTTGAAAATCCAGACCATGCCGCAAAACAAACTGAAAGAAGAGGTAAAAGTCGTCGCAACAAAATTCAGCCAACGGCTTCACATAATGGACACAAAAAGTATCCAAATCTAAAGATAGGCAACAGGTCTTGCAACACCTACCCTCAGTAGCCCTTTGTTGGCATTAGCTGAAAAATTCAAGTGGTTCTTAAGTAAAAATAAAAAGGAAATTCTTGTTTAAAGATGGCATCGAGTCAGGAAGAGCTCGGAGAGAGCTTACACGAACGCAACATCGTCGCCACCACCTCGTCGGAGAATCATAAACTTTATGAAAAAGAATGACCTACAAGAACTGAAAACCACGAAGGGATGGGTCCTCACTCCTCTAGACACGGACGAAGTCACCGGACAAAAGAGAGAAGGAGGGAGATACAAGGGCGGTTATGTAAAAAAAAAATCACTATTTATCCATAGAAATAATATGTTTTTTATGCAGGGAATAGAAATACTATGTTTAGGGTGCCCGTTTACGCATACACTGGGACAAGGCCAGAAGGTACTACTGGACTATACAGTAAGGCGATATGGTAGTATGGTACGTGACGAGGACAATCCTGGCCCACAGGACCATTTTGCCTGCTGGTCGGCTCGACGCACAAGCAGCTGTATGCAACGAGATTTAGATTTTTTTCTTCTTCTTCTTGGCCTCGTTGGCATCTGTGCAATGCAAGAATCTTGAATCCGATCGATCAGGCATGTGATGCCTCTGCCACAAGCTTTTTGTGTACGTGAACCAAAATGACAGAGAGGAAAAGACGAACGATTGAGTAGAACTACTGTGCACCTACCGCAGGGTTTCAATCAGCCATAGCAGCACGCCCGTTCCTTTTTTTTTTAGAACAGAGGCTCAAGAAAGAGCCCGCCCTTGAATTAACAAAGCCATCAACCGGCCAGGATTACAAACTCAAAACCAACACAAGAAAGCAGAAAAGTGACAAGATACAAAGGCGCTGGACAGCAGCACACAAGCCACACACACCCAGCTAAATGATCGAACACACGCAGCTCGGGGATGTGTAGGTCCTCATTCGCATACAAATCACCAGGGAGTAGGAGAATGTCAGCCCAAGAGCAGCATTACTGGCGGCGAGAAAGGGCACGCCCTCGTCAAATCACCAGCGGCCCCGGCTTGCCATGTCCTCCCAACTCCACTGTCAAAGAAGACCCCTGTCTCCTCGCCTGGCTCGAAGGCGCCGAACCGTTGACAGTGTAGCAATTTACCCTTAAACCTGGGGGAAAAGACACCGGCAGGCTGCATCTAGAAAGGAACCTAGCTCACCCGACTAGCCACGGAATGATCTCATGAAGCAGAGCGCCACCCAACACCCACGGACTGGACACGAATGAGAAAGAGCTGCCGGAACGGAACGGACGGAGGAGCAGAAGCATAGTGTCTCTGGATGTGTTGAGCCACTGAAGATCTCGCCGCAAACAAAGAAGACCAGCTACTGCCGCCGCTGCACACCCACCACATCGCCGAGAAGCCCACTGCCCACCTAGCTCCCAAAAACGGCGCCTTCAGAAAGGAAGCGACGCCAAGGGCGCCGCCGCCGCCCAACAGAGTTGAGGTTTTCACCCGGAAGACTAGAAGGAAGGGGGGGCGGCGGATCTGACCTGAACGGCGCCTCCAGGGAGGGGAACGGCGCCACGAGCGTCGCCACCGCCAAGACCGACGAGGCCGGCCTGGAATTTCTCCCGGTCTTCGAATCCCCGCCTCCACCACCCCAACGACGCAAGATCCGGCGGCCCGCAAAGAAGCCGGACAGATCCGGCCGGGGCGGAGCTCTCGAAACAGGGGGCAGGGGCGGCCAGATCTGGCGCCGCCGCGAGCCACAGCAGACGCTGCACCAGGGCTCCCGTCCACCGGGGCACCCGCCGTCCGCACGGCCAGGATCGTCGGCCCACGCCCGCGCCACCGCCTGCCGCAGGGCCGGTGACGCCTCTCCGACCAGGGCCGCCGCCCTGGAGAACACGGCCCCCCGCAGCAGAGGCAGGGACGCCAGGGCCCCGCCGCCACCTTCCTCAGCGTCGCCCCGGGCTTGCCCGGCGGCGGCCTCAGGCGGCGGCGAGGAGGAGGGGAGAAGAAAGGGGAGGCGGCGGAGCTAGGGTTCGGGGCCCCCGAGTCGCCCTAGCAGGGGCGACGCGAGGGGAGGGGGCGAGTGGGGATGATATCGCACGCGCGTTCCTCATGACCGGGCTAGAAAACAAACAGTCATGTATCTATGTACCAATATAAAAAAACCAAAGGGGCAGATCCAAATCATCTTAACTGTTAAATCATGTTATCTGCGGTTCAAATCGCTTCAATGTTAAGCACTAAACATGTTGAACGCTCTAATTACCCAGCACTGCCATTGGTTATAAACACGTTTTGACTCAACCATATCCCATGAAATCTGTCATGTAATTAATATCCTATCATTCTTGTAAAAAAATAATTGATATCTTACCAAACACCAACATGCAACAGATATATCTTACCTAATATAACATGCAACTAATATCCTACCAAATATAAATGTGCATTGCACGTACATTATTACTAGTACTTTAAATATTAGAGCGTGTGATCGTTCCGAGTAATTTAGTTCGAGCGTCACTGCTGTTTTGCCTTCCGCAACGCAATTTTTTTACGACGAGAAACGGCACTTACGTAACGGCGAGGGGATTCGGTCAGTCGTCAGAGGTAAAACGCAACGCGTTCGCCCGTGATTTCCCGGAAAAACCACACGTGGTTCCTCCACAACTAGAACTGACGTTGACCGGCGAGGCGATCACCGGAAAGACCGTGTGAAATTCAGGTGAAACTGATGATGGTTTGCCACGAGAAGGGGTGGGAACTTTTGCCATGTGAAGAAGCGTGACCGGACAACTACTTGACCTGTGGGAAAGAGGGGCTGCCAGACCGACTTTGACCCTGGAACGACCGCCAGTTTGTGCGTCCACAGGCGTGGCGTGGCTCCGAGGAGTTTCAGTCTCATTCAGTTTTTAGCTGTGTTCAGATTTTCAGACTGACAGGGATCGCTATGAGACTTCCAAATTATAACAAGTTTCGTACTCCCTCCGTTCACTTTCTTCGTTCACTTTTGTAAGTCATTTCAGACAACTCCAAATGAGCTATTTTGTACATTGTCTGAAATGTCTTCAAGGTCTTATAAAAATAAATAGAGTGAGTATATTTTAATATAAACTACATACAAATTAAAATGAGTGAACAAACACACGAAAATGCGTATATATACATTCGAACAAAAATAAATAGAACAACTTATAATTCGGAATATATTTAACAAAAATATTGTCACTTTTCAGTCATGTATACCATTGGACTATCACTTCACAATTTTTCCCAAAGAACTATCAAGTGGATTGTAAGTTTGGCTAAAAAAAACTATCACTTTTGGTTAGGCAACAATTCAGGCTGCTAAAGCTGGATTACGACAGGTCGGGCCCACCCATCGGGTTCACATGACACAAATTGTCAATTCTGTTAATTTCGGCTGTCATATTTTCTATTACAACAGGTGGGACTCGCATGTCAGCATCAAATCTCTTCTCTCTTAATATATTTTATCTATTCAACATTTCCTCGAGTAGCTTGTATGCATGTGTGCCCGAGTTGCTCCTTCCCTTCCTCCGCCCTGACCATGTGGCTCGACCACTGCTCGGCGGTTACAACATTTGCTCCGATAACCATCCATATGCAGGGGCGGAGCCAGGATTTGAGTATAGGAGACAAAAAATTCAAAAGATAATTATAGAGAACAAGGTTGAGAACTCGCACACCAGCACACCAAGAATTTGAAGCAACTGACTTAAAAAAATCTTAATGATGTTTGGCAGTGTTTTGTCTCTTCATGTCAAAAAATTACAATTTTAGAAGTAACCGACTTAAAAATGAATTGATCTTGATGGTGTTTGGCAGCATTTTTTCTCCTCATACTAGGAGAATTTCAATTTCAGAATTAGCTATATTGTGTAAGGTCGTCATATATTTTTTTTGG